AACATTCCCACCAGTGTATAAGGGTTACTTTTTCTCCAGCGACTTCCCAACACTTACTGAAATGGGCAATTCTGAGGCGCTCCCTGGTGGCCACTGAGTTAAGTGCAGCGCTCTGAGTGAGATCCTCCGCCAGGGAGCTGACCCACGTGGCACAACAGACCTCTCCTGCCTTCCCACTGCTCCCCTCAGCAGTGTACTTCAGTCAGTCTGCCTGTTCTGTCTCTGGTGAGTCCTCTCACCCCCACCACATCTGACCTGTACCCCAATTCTTGTATGCATAAATAAATTAGTCTTTAAAAAAAAAAAAGAAAAGAAACAGGCAATCTTCACAGGTGTGAGGTGCTGTCTCATTGTGGCATCATTCGCATTTCCCTGACAACAAAAAAGGATGAAGAGTTTTTTTTTTTTATGTTCCTTGGCCATCTGTATGTATTCTTTGGAGAAATGCCTGTTTAGCTCTTCTGCCCAATTTTTGATTGGGTTTTTTATTTTCTTTTTGTTGGGTTATATAAGTTCTTTGTAAATCTTGGATATCAGTCCCTTGTCAGATGACTGGTGTGCAAATATTTTCTCACATTCAGTTTGGTGTGTTTTTATTTTACTGATAGTTTCTTTCATAGAAAGAAATATTTTTAGCTTGATATAGTCCCAATTGTTTATATTCTCTTTTGTTTCTTTTGCTGTCATTGATGAAGCCACAAAGTCATCACTGAAGATTATGCCGTGGAGTGCTTTGTTTCTGTTTTCTTCACTGTATTTTATGGTTTCCAAGTTTTTAATTGGTTGATTATTGTGTATGGTGTGAGCTAGCAGTCTAGTTTTTGTTTTTTCTGTTTTTTTTATGGGTTTCCTTTTGCTTTCTGGATTGTTATCCAATTGATCCTAGGCTTATCTTTGAAGTTCAGAGGCATATTCTAGAGACAGCAGAAAGCTGGGCTTTGTTTTCTGATCTAGCCAGTTGCTGTGTTTTTTGATTGGTGAGTTCAGTCCACTATATGCAGGGTTATTATAGGGTCTGCTGTCACCATTTTGTCCTTAGCTTTCTGGGTCTCTCTCTTTCCTGATTTTGTTGTTTAGTGAGTGATCATTTCGACTTAGATAGGAGAGCTCCTTTCAATATTTTTTGTAGGGGGAGATACAGTGTTGGCAAAATCCTTCAGCTTTTGTCTGTCTGAAAAGGCCTTTATTTCCACATGGGATGGAAAGTCGTATAAGGTAGATAATTCTTGCCTGCTTATACTTCGAATATATGATTCAATTCTTTCTGTGCCCCATAGTGTTTCCTCAGAGAAGTCAGATATAAGTCTAAATGAAGGTACTTTTATAAGTTTATGATTCTTTTCCCACATGATTCTTTTTATCGATTATATTATTATTTCTTTGTCTTGAACTCTTGGAAATCTTGCAACTATGTGTTTTGCTCTCATTGCATCTAGGTCATCAGGTGTTATCAGCTTCAGGGATTTGTATAATTAGTTTCTCCTCCAAGTCTGGGAAGTTTTCCCCCGTTGTTTCTTTGAATAAGCTCTCTGTTCCCTTCTCTCTCTCTTGCCCTTCTAGAATATTTTTTATTATGTTGTTTTTACTAAGGGAGGGAGGGAGAGAGGAAGGGAGGGAGGGAAAGAAGGAAGGAAGGAAGGACTGAATCTAGGTATACACTGGAATGACCTGTTGGTTCATACAGAACCCTAAATTGCTACACCTTCTTGCTTGCCTATACATTTGCATTTCTAGGTAAAATTAATTATTATTCTTTAGAGTACTTTCTCATTTACCTCTGCAATAGTCCTGGTCTAATCCACAGCCTCTCTTCTAGGAAGTTCTCTATCTCTGTTTTGTTAGGTGAATATCAAAGGCCATGTCCATTAGCTTTGCTTTTCTCTGTCTCTCTGCAGAAGCTTCACTCTTACAGATACAGATCAATCCATTCATGACTCAAAACTCTATCCTGACTCTTCTGGAACCAGTATAATCAAGCACAGAAGAAACTAGATTTAACTTTAAGCTTATGGTGCCCTTTTGTAAATAGCAACCTAACTGGTGTCATAGAAAACTGAAAAAACTCAGTGGTTTTGAAATTCTGGGGGGTATTTGGAAGACATAACACTGAACTGAGAAGTTCACTGGTAATACTTAATCTAAACAGCAGCTAAAATAAGAAATGTTCCTTTATAAAAATGTCTATAATAGCACACATTCTAAAAACTCAACTTCCTACTTGATAAAATAACTTACTGGGCTGAGATTTAACATCTTAATTTAAAATTCTAAATTTAATAGTTTTATGTAATGTATAAATGCATAAAATATAGCTTTAAATGTGAAGTTAGTGAAGTAACTTTACTAACGAGGGAATCTGGAATTTACATAAATTGGCCTTTGCCTATTTTAGATGTAAGGAGGAACTCAAATGTCTGTATATTATATCACAACAAAATCAGTTCATTTTATATATTGAGCATATAAACCAGAGACTTAAATAATTTTCTTCATTTTAACTTTTATTGACAATTACTAGGAGTCATGAAATGCTTTTATCCAGTTGCTAAAACACACACACACACACACACACACACACAAAAGGTAAAAAAATGATGATAATTTAAGCTTATATAACTTGAATTAAATAAATTAAGAATTTAACTGCACATCTAAATATTTAAGAGCACACTTCAGAAAATTTTTGAAACTGTTCCCTCCTTTTCTATTCTTTCATAAGAAGCAACAAAACTCAACTATATAGATATATTCTGAGTACTAGAAACTGATAAGCAAACACAGTAACATATATCCCACATTTTCTTTCTTTACTGAAAAGAACATCAATCTTCAGTACAATGGGGACAAAATTTTATTGAATACATAATTATCCACCATATCTAAGAAGTAAAATGAGAGATTTTGATAGAAATTCATGACACCATCATAATAATTTCCCAAGTTTCATTGCCATTACAAATGCACCTGTTCTGATACATTATATTTGGATACATTCTACAGAGCAACTTTAGTGAACTATAATATACTTTTATCTCCAGAGATTTCTTTCAATTTTTGCTAAAAGTCATTCACTCAACTTTCACATAATCTTCATTACAAGAGGATTATGTGTTAAATGGCCTATATTTGAAAAATGATGGATTGAAATGTAGAATATAAATATTTTAAGGTCTTCCCTGACAAACAGAAGTTGAAGAATTTTGTAAATAGTAGATCTCTCTTACAAAAAATACGGAAAAGAGCTCTATAAAAACAAGAAAAACACACACACACACACACACCACAGTTACAAGAAAATAAGTAGAATGCTACTGCCAAAGACGAAATGACTTTTTGTTAAGGCTTTGCTATTTCAAACCATGTACAGGTGATTTTGCAGTTCCATCAGAGTATTTGAAGTTCTAACAAGCATATTTTGAAAAAGTATTCTTCTTGAATATTGTTTTGTTTTAATGTTACAGTGAACTTTTAGGTTGTAAACATATTTTCCCTATGTAATTGCTGGCCAAAATATCGATAGATACATACCTTCCATTTATTTTGAGAATTAGAAGCCAAGAGATGGTCTGAATAAAAAAATTTACAAGGGGTCTGCAGGGTATTTAAAATTACTTTTTCAAATACTTTTCTACTTTAAAATGTTTTTATTACCTTTTGCTTGAGGATTAGTATAAAATGTTCTTACAAATTCTATTATAGATTGAATTTTCTTTTTGCAGTTTTTACATAGAAGAGAAACAATGTCTATATTCATCCAAAAGTTCAGTTGTTCTCGCCTTAGGAATCTCCATAATTATTTAGTCTAAAGGATCTATACCAGTGTCAACCAAGTCATTACATTTTATTTTCTTCCCAAACTTTTTCTAACTAAAGTTATCTACTGCATTTATTTGTTTCATTTTTCAATCCTTTTTATGGCTGCAGTTAAAACAGTTAAATTGAAAAATAACTTCATAAAAATATCCCGCCTGTGCTTTCCATGGTGGTGCAGTGGGTTAAAGCAGCATATTATGGAGCTCTGCAAAGCCATGTCGGCACCAGTTCGCTCCTGGGCCAGGAAGGTGACCCACATGGCGCGGCAGACCTCTCCTGACCCGCCCGCTGCTCCCCTAAGCAGTGGACTTCATCACTCTGCCTGTTCTGCTCCCCACTATGTCCCTGGTGAATCTTCTCACTGACCCTGCACCTCGGACCTGTGCCCCAATTCTAGTAAGACAACCGAGTATGACAGGCAGATTACTTGATATTCACCTCTGTAACCCTTTGTTTTGGGAAGTAAAGAAAGGGAACACGTGCTATCCTGTGCATAAGAAAATTCTGAAAGGTCTATATTATGCTTCTATCATTCAAAAAGGAAAAGGAAGTTATACCAAATAGATTGTGGTTTATAATATACTTGAATGATTTAGGGAAAAATGTTTTTTGGTTACTGACTGCTGAACATAGAAATGCTCTGAGTTCATTATTGGTTAGCTTGGTTTCTTCCTGCCATGGCAGTGACAATTTATTCACTCAGTTGTCTCTTATTTTTCCCATCTTTCTATTTTTTTTCTCAATGGGTTTTTGAATGCCATATTGTATAATGTAGTTAAATAAAAGTATTATTTTTAAAAGTATATGAATCTATAATATATATAGCACAGATATTTAATATATAATATTATTTTATATATTTGTATTATGTTATATATTTATATATTTATTGTATATAATATATGATATATCTATATATATAAGCCACTCATAATAATCATAGTTTTACAATTTAGTAGGTAGAACCCATTCTAGCAAGTTAATTCTTATATTTACAATACTATATTTATCCCACAGTTTTTTTTTTTTTTCAAAATACAATTTGCATCCCATCTACAAAAATTGTTTTAGGGTGTCTATCAAATAAAATTTGTAAAGACTAACTGCCATGGTGATTTTCAAATTTTCCTTCCTAAAAGACCAAAAAGGAAAGAATAAAAAGTTTTTCCAATTCAATGAAGACTTACCTTGCCGACATATTGATAATCAGATCCTGTATATTCCTCCAGTAAGAAAAATTGATTCCACATCCAACCACGTTTTTGACGATGCAGAATTTTGCCATCACTCCTCGGTACACGGGTACCTAAAATTCTTTGCTGGGGCACAGGAGTCCTTCTGAACACCATTTCGGGAGAGCAGAAATGTGGCAGGCATACCCAGAGTAGAAACAGTAGCAAAAATTGATACACTGTCATAGTTTGGTTTTTGACAATTCTCAGTGTGGATGAAGAGACAGAAGTCCTGTTGTGTTGAGATGGCTGCTTTTCAACTGGTTTCCAACATTTCATCAATGTTTGGGACACGTTTTCAAAAGCTTCAAACAAAAGAAATAAATGAAAAAAAAGTCAGTTGACAACTTTATGAATGTCTCATGTCATTTTAAATTTAAAGTGACAAGGGTTTATTACTAATAGAAGCCAAAATATTTACTTTCCTTCTTTTACATAATAAAATGATTAGTTTCAGGAAACATTGCTTGTCAAGTAACATGTCTACAGTTTAAGACATGATAATTGTAAATAATTTCTTTCAAACAAATTCTAAGGAAAAGATACATTTAAACATTGGATTCTTTTTTCTTTTGACACTTCAACAGCTTTCAGGAATTATAATCCCTATAAAGTGTAAAGATGTTGTTAATTTTGCAAGACTTTTCCAGAGTAATTTAGCATGAATTAAATTTTTGAAAGCAATTTAGTGATATAAATAAACTATAAAAACAGGAAACATGCATCTGTTGTACAGCATAATGATATTTAAATGTTTTTTTAAAGCAATATAATTTCTTCCAACAGTGCTGTTCAAAGGTAGACATAAAACCAAAAACAAAAAGAGAACAGTCTTGGAAGACCTGTCCTCTCTTCTCTCTTAGGTCGATCTGTGGATCCCCTTGAGTTTTCTAAAGGGGGATATGACCTCCACTAGAGTAAATCAATATGAAATACAATTAGTACCACTGAGTAGAGGGATTTATCCATGCGGTCACGTGTGCCTTTGACACATCACATGCCATCTTGTCCACTTCTGGCCACAGCCACTGCCACTGCCACTAAGCCCTCTTTGCAAGTATTTTCTCAACAAAATGTCCCAGGCAACCCCATAACAATGTAAATCAGATTATGTCACTTCTCAATACTTCAATGGTTTCTCATGTTACTTTGATCAAATCCAAATTCTCACAAGAATCTGTAACTCTGCTCCCTCTTTTTTGACAGCTGGTCAATCCCTGACCTCATGTTTTAATTCAATCACCCACCTCACTATCCCACAGTGACTCCTCAACTGAACTGTTCTCCTTGCCTCAGCTTACAGGCACTTGCTAAGCTCCTTTTCTCGACCAGAACAGCTGTTCCCTCTTCCTGGAATGTTCTTCCTCTAGGCACCCACTTAGGAGGATGTCTTTCTTTCATGTCTCTCTCGAAATGCAACCTAACATTATAAGCATGCTGGTGGTATATATTCTTTGTCCTTGCTTTAATTCCATGATGGAAGGGAATTTTGCTCTTTCTTTGCTGCTGTGTTTACAGTGCCTAGACCAGACTCATGCACACAATAGATGTTCAAAAAATAGACTGAATAAATGCACCAATTGATTCAGAAGCTTAGTACTATCTATACCTGTGTGTGTGTATGCAGGTCGACGCACACACTAACAATTATGCATGGAAACACTTATTTTTAAATTGTAATTTTATTCCTCATTTATTATTAACATGTACTTTTCACATGTGTTCTAATTATTGAGCTCTTGGTTAGCTCTGACTCTAAGATACAATATTTGCTATAAAAATTGGTTTGGGCCCCCCAAAATTGAGGTTCCGCCTGGGCAATATGGCAACACCTTCAGAAGTACTCCAGCATTTACAGTGATGCTTTTATCTACCGTAATGTGAAAGCAATCTGTTTACTTGTTGTTGCTTTATTATTAAGAAGATTTAAAGGTTAATGCAAACTTGCTTTGGAAACAAGATTAATGGTGGAACAGTATTTCCTTGGAGTATATTAAATGACAGCTGAGCTCTCTGTAGCAAGTGAAGCATTCAACATGATAGATGTAAACTGCATTAAAATACGCCATGGAATGCTATACTTTGAGTATAGAAATTATCTGATGCATAAAATGATTTTACATTACAAAGCAGTTACTTTACAGAAACTCAAAGTGATTGGATTCTCAGGGAACGTTTACCAAAATATGTTAGCCTTTTTACTTATCAGGACATACTAGAAGCTGTTCTCTAGAAATATATTCTACTTCTAAGAGTTAGGAGTTTGTACAATTGAGAGTTTCTTCTATGAAAGCTTTACAATTTGTTGAAGCAAGACCCACTCTCATTTCACTTTCTTTTTATTTCAAATAGAAGCTGGCAACTCTATGCTATTTTGGTGACCATTTTTAATATAACTATTTTTAATTTTAGAAGCCTAAGTACCATATTTTAGAGGAGTAATGGAGATATTCTCTATAAAAGTTTTCGGTAGGCAATTGGGGTCTACATGGGATTTTTTTATTTGTAGCTCAAATTTCTCTTATTTATTGATACATTTTCTGAAGAATTTATAGTAAAGGGTATCGTTAAATACTGACTTAAGATAATTGAAATACATTTCAATATAATTTACACAAATGTTATTTGATAGAAACATTTCAAACTATTCAAGATTAAATGACATCTGAGATGCAAAATTTTGTCGCTTTTATTAAATTGATTGATGTAATTTCTTCTTTAATCAGTTGGAATTTTGATGACATATATATATAAATCTTTGCCTAACTTGAAGTCCAGAAAGATTTTTATTTATGCTTTCTTTTGAAAGTTTGATAATTTTAGTTCTTACATTTAGACTACTGTCCAATTTGAAACAAGTTTTATATGTGGCCCATGATATGGAGATTTTCATTTTATATATGAATATTCAAATGTTCAGTATCATTTGCTTAAAACACCATCCTCTTTCTCCACTGAAGTACCTTTGTGTTAAGTTTATTTTTAGACTCTCTATTCCATTGATCTATTTATATATTTTTATAGTTAATAATACACTGTCTTGATTGTTTTAAAACATAATTCTTAAAATCAGATCATGCTAATTGATTTTAATTTTCTTTTAAAATGTGATGAACACATTCTAGGTATTTTACATTTTCCATATAAATTTTATAATTACCTTCCAATTTAAGTGTAAAACCAGATGGAAATTTTGATTGACATTTGCATCGTCTCTTTAGATGAATTTTGGGAAAACTAACATCAGAGTAAGCTGACTCTCCTTAACTATGAACACTGCGTATCTATCTCTCCCACCTCAGGAGACAAATATGTCAGAACCAGACATGACAGAGATGTTGTAATTATAGAGCAGGAATTTTAAATGACTAATAAACATGATACATGAACTAATTCAGGATGTAACAGCATGCAAGGATATATGGACAATGTATGCAGAAATGGAAATCCTAAGAAAGAACTAAAAATAAATTCAAGATCTAAAAAGCATTGTAACAGCAAAAATATGTCTTTGATGGGCTCATTCGTAGACCCAACAAGGTTGAATAAAGTATCACTGAGCAGGGTCCTCCCTGGTGGCGCAACAGATTAAAGCACAGCAGTAGGAAGCTATCCATAGCCACTGCAGCACAAGTTGACCCCTGGTCAGGGAGCTACTCACACGATGCAGCAAACCTGACCTGCCCACTGCTCCCCTCAGGACAGTGTCCCCCTGTTCTCATCCCCACTCTCTGTCTGGTGAATCCTCTCACCCCCTGGATCTCTGGCCTACATTCCAGTTCTTGTATGCATACATAAATAAGTCTTTAAAAAAATTACTGAGCAAGAGGATATATTAATAGAATCCTCAAAAACCTAATGTTTTGTCCTTATACCTTCATCTAATCCACAGAATGTACAAAGACAAGAGCTACATGCAAGGTAAACCATGGGATCTGAGTGATCGCATTGTTTCAATGTAGGTTTAACTTTGGTAAAGAATGTAAATTCTGATGACTAACATTGAATTTAATCCTGGAGGCTATCCATGTGTGCATGTAGTGGGAATCTTTAAGATGAGCACTGATAAGCTCACACAAAATGTAGTAAAGATAGGAAGTTACGTGAAATAAATCAACAATGAACTTATCAAATGTCAATTCTTCCTAAGTTTATTCTATTTATTAGCTTTTTCAAAACATTGATCCTTGATTATAAATAAGACAAGTCATTATTCTTGCAGTAATCTGACTCAAAGTACAGAATGTCTTTTGTGCGTCCATTTAACCAAGTATAATGCTTTCTGGGCATTGCTTCCTTTTTTTTTTTTTTTGTTCTTTCTTCCAGACTTTGAGTTCATTCCCCAATGTGACACCACAGTATTTTAAATCATTTTATGCAAAACAGTGTACAGTATCTATTATGACATTTCTTTAACCTTAATCTTTTTATTTAAAATATATCCTACAAGGTATTAGCCAAATTAATTTGCTAAAACCCATTTCATCAAGACCAAAATCAATTAAAGGTTTTCAACATGTCTACTTCTAAAATGAAGACATCCTAACTTTATGATTCACTATAATATTTGGAGTCAGATTATTTTTTAAATTCACATTAGTTCCAGTAGTTTATTTAAGTGGACACATAACTTCTTACAATTATTAGTACTCCCTAATTAATGTATACTTGTAAATCTTTTCTATGTGGTTATACTTTTTTGAATTTCTTCACCGAGGAACAACAGCATATTGGTTAGCTAGATATCAATAAACATTTCTTGAATTTCTAGTTAAGTAATTAATATGCTTATAAAAGCTCCTTCATTAACAGATTGCTGTCTTATATTTTTAAAGATTTAGAATATGAACATATTACATAAAGAAACTGTTACTTGTTTTTAATTGTAACATTTTAATATTAATCAAGTGAACTAGAACACAACCATCTCCTCGAGTAAACATGCTAGAAATTAATGAAATTTTATAATGCCATTTCCGATTAATAAATTTCACATTCAAGCTAACCTTTCAAAATCACATTTCCTTATTTAACCTAAAAAAAATCATTTAATATAAATATCACATGAAGTTTAAGAATTATTAAATGTTCTCTTAGTAGTCCATATTCCTGGAACTCTTCCAGACCAGATCTCCTCAAATTTTAATGTACCTCCACTCTCCTCGACCACTCTAGTTAAATATCTACGCTCTTCCCAGCTAGCAAATCTGGGATAGCGTGCAGCATTTTGTATATCTAATAATTTTTCCTGTAATGCAGAGGAGATGGGACCACGTCCTTTGAATATCAAAGCTCTAGACCACTT